TAAATAAAATCTTTAAAAAATACAAAAAAATACAGATGCCTTGGCCTACTGCAGTTTTTAAAAGCTCCCTAGGCAATTTCTATGTCCACCAAAGTCTGAGAACCAATGCAACAGATCCCATTACCAAGTACGGGGGTGGAAACCCTATCTCAGCTTAATCTCAGCCAGTCCACAGCAAGTCTTCTAAAGTTAATTGGCCATTGAGCACTTGATCCCTTTGTTAACAGTCATTGATAACAATAGTGGTAAAAATATAATGTGTTTTTTAAAGCCTCTAATCATAGCATGCCCAAGAGACCAAAATATGGGGTGGTTACTCGATAAACTCAAAGCCTTTCCTCAGTGGGTTATCGTGATCATACCCCTTAATGGCACATCAAGGATAATGAAGGGGAAAAACACCATAGAATGTCACCACTTGATACACCCACTTTAGAAAAGGAAATTACCAACAAAATTAGGAATTAAGAATGAGCTAGACGATCAATGAACTAGATCTTTAGGTAATAACATGGGTAGCTCTCCAAGACACACTACTGATTTTTTTTTAAAAGCAAGCTGCAGACCAACACGTATTATAAATGAGACCATTTATAATATTTGCACCCACACACAGAACAATACTCTATTGTGTATGGGCCAACAGAAAAACATATGCAAAAGTCTAGAACTGTGCTGTTCAAGATAATAGCCAAAAGCCACATCTGGACATTTAAATATACATTACTTCAAATTAAATAAAATAGAAAATTCAGCTCTCTCGGTCACACTAGCCAAACTTCAAGTGATTAGGAGCCACCTGAAGTCAGCAGTATTGTACTGGACAGTATAGATCTATATATATATCTATTTCCATCATCACAGAAAGACCTACTGGACTGTGCTGGTCTAGAAAGATATAAATTCATAATGGTAGTTGGCCTGGCTGGGAAGTGGGGGTCTTGGGCAAAGATGGGAGTGGGGGATAGAACAGGGATTGAAGAACTCCAGCCTTATCTGTAAATTTTGCTTACTTTTTTTTTTATTTTAAAGAAAAAGCACTTTTGAATTCCTGTGCAATTTTAGTATTAAAAACTAGAAAGGTAGACCTTTATTAAAGATACACAAAAATACACACAGGAAGCTTGGAAAAATTTTAAATATCCTGCTGAGAGCTCTGGATTAATATGTGTGGAATATTACAAATATTCCTAAGTTCTGAAGAGAAATACAAACAAAAAAGCCAAGCACAGCTGAATAAACCAAAAAGGTTAGTGTCTGGGGAAAGACATCCTTTTAAAAACGGATTAAGAGAGGGGCACCTGGGTGGTTCAGTCGTTGGGCGTCTGCCTTTGGCTCGGGTCGTGATCCCAGGGTCCTGGAATCGAGCCCCACATTGGGCTCCCTGCTCGGTGGGAAGCCTACTTCTCCCTCTCCCACTCCCCCTGCTTGTGTTCCTGTTCTCTGCTCTCTCTCTCTCTGTCAAATTAAAAAAAAAATCTTTAAAAAAAATAAAAAATAAAAATGGATTAAGAGAATCCAAATGAAGAAAACAGGGTAGCCCACAAGTACAAACGAGAAATTAGGTGGGCTAAAAGTAGTATCTAAAGGTTTATCTAGTCAATAAGTTCTCTGGAACTATAGAGGCATTGTGGGATTAGTGGAAAGAACATCTATAGGCTTGGGAGTTAAACAGACAAGATTTGAATCTTAGCTCTCCTTCTAGTTGAATGCTTGTAAAGTTATTTAAACTCATCGGTTCTCCATTTGCTCATCTGTTAAATGAGAAATATTTAACTCAAAGCACTGTTGTGAGGAGTAAATGAGATATGTGTAAATTGTCCATTACAGTTCCCAGCACATACTAGCTACTATTTGAGAAACACTTACTATTTTTTACTATCATTTTAAAATTTCAAAATGGACAAAAGTCAAGTCACAATTGCCTTGATAAAATTTAAATTCTATTCTAAGACCAAGACCTAATTTTGTAAATAAAGGAAATACCCCAAAGTCATTCCCCTTTAAGACAGGAGTAGAACAAGACATGTTGGTGATAATCTGAGAAGCCAAAAGAATCAAATATACATCTTTTATGTTCTTCACATGTCTTACCTCATTAATTCTCATAAGTAGTACCATTGTTATCCCTATTTTATAGAGGAGGAAACTGAGGTACAGGGCTGTTACATATATTTTCCATGATTACACAGAAAGTGGCTGAACTGGGATGCAAATCTAAGCAGTCTATCCATAAAGTCCACCCTATCAAGCACAGCACTTTATAGATTCTGACAGATTACATGACTGTAGGTCTGGAAAATCTACAAGAAATAATCTAAATGTACTAGCTGTAATAAATCAATAAGATCCCAAGACATAACCTGCATACTATTAACAGGCAGCAAAAAATACAATGTGAAAACAAAAACTACTCACAACAGAGACCAAAAAATTAAATAACTGGCCATCAATCCAGCCAGGATGCAACAGAGTTAAAGAAAAATTTAAAACTTGTGCTCCTGGGGGCGCCTGGGTGGCACAGTGGTTAAGTGTCTGACTCTTGGTTTCTGCTCAGGTCATGATCTCGGGGTCTCGGGATAGAGCCCCGTACCAGGCTCCACACACTCGGCGTGGGATCTGCTTGGGATTCTCTCTCCCTCACCCTCTCCCTCTGCCCCTCCTGCTCACGCTCTCTCTTTCTCTAAGATGAATAAATAAATCTTAAAAAACATTTAAAACCTGTGCTCCTGGACAGGAAAATTTCACTAATAGTATGGCTGACAACATGCCTTTTAAGGTAAGATACAGATTTGGTTGTATGCTGACCAGTCTATGCCTTTGCTCCTGCTGTCCCCACCCCTCCACTTGGAACCTCTCTCCCAGGGCTTCCCTTCCTATTTATCTGATGAGAGGCTACTCATTCTTTAAAACCTAGCTTCTAACTCTTCCTTATGTATAACAACTTTAGGAGGCTAAGGTTACCACCCAGCCATTATGCAGCATGAGAAACATCTGTGTCACTAAAAGGCCTAGCACATTAAGAACCATATGGACAGAATTTAGGAGGGTTGAGGGCACTAATTTCTCAATGTTGCAAATGATTATTTGGTTATGGTAACATTTATGGCTCAGTAAACTACTGATCTGTTTTGAGTCTAAATGATGTTCTAAGAATACTTTTAACACAGAAACAAATAAATGAATAAACAAGTGTTTACCCCAATATGGAAGAGGGCGCTAACAGGCTTGTGGTCACTGGTTTTTAGTTCCATGTGACTCCGGTAATGAAGCTGATTAACATTTGTTCCTCTCCAAAGAATCCGGTCACACCAGGCTGGAACCCGACATTTCCCACTGCAAATAAAGAAAGAAGCATAAAGGGAACATACCACACAAGAATGTAATACCTACCACACTGGTTCAGAGCTGGGTAGGCCGTCTTTTATATGCTTCTCCTTCCCTAATGATCCCAACTATAATATTCCCTACTATATTCAAGCTCTGTAAAGGGTCTGTGTCTGCTTGTTTGCTACTGAATTCCCAACCTCTAGCACATTATCTTATGCAAAGTAGGTGTTCAATGAATAGTTATCTAATGAATGAATAAACTGTGTTCCCAAAATTAGCATTATATCTTCAACAATGTTGCTCCTTCAACAATGTTGTCCCAGGGGAAAATATAATAGCCCCTTCTTAAAATATCCTCAGAAGGTCAGGATTATATTCAGCACACTTTGCTCGATGAACTGCAGTGACATTTTACACAGATAGAAAACTAATAAAAATCTAAAACTCCAATCCTAAATTCCACGACAGGGCTTAATTTCTGGAGATAAGTAATAGTAGAGATTTCTCCTTTAAACCTAGACTTTCATGACAAGTCTAGCTTCTTCAGATAGAGATGAACTAACATCTAAGCATGCAATTCTGAACATATAACAGTCCACAGATTACCAAGGTTAGGGAAAAAGCTTATTCATCATTCTATTAAAATAAGCAGCACCTTGTACACCTGATCCAGAAGGGGACACAAAAAAGTTCTTATCTGTAGCTCTTCAAATGACTCTCAAGTCAGGTGAGTGGGAGAAACAAGGTGAAGTGTACAAGATCTGTCAGTGTCACTTTTTACTTGCTGACCAGCTCCCTCAGGGCACAGGGATACAGACTCCTCTCCAACCCACCCTAGTGCTCTGAGTCTAAAGAAGTTGAATATGCCCAGGGATTTTCTTTCTCTTTCAAGCTTCTGGGCTCAGCCAGCTAGGACACCATAGGAAACAAAGAGATAGTAGGTAGAAGACAAATAGTTACCAGGAACATACTGAGAGGGGTGCTTTACTGGGGGTAATTAGGAAATCAAAGCGCCCCCCCCCCAATAGACAGTAGCTCTTAGCTTTTTCTAGCAGTTGCAGAGGCAAGCATCAGTATTTTAAAAAGTCCCCCAAGACATTCTAATGTGTAGTCAGGACTGAGAACCATTGTGCTGGAAGAGCCTTTCATGGCTCACTTTCTGGTGTTCTGAGTTAAGGAGTTGAGAAACAATTTGGGAAAAAACATTCAGAACAGGACAATCGGTAAGGAAATAGCGGTGGAATCAGAAACGTTAAAATCTAAGCAAGTCTGTTTAGAGGATAGAAATAAGGCATTGCAGGCAGCCCATAAAACTTCAATAGCTCTGACACAGAAGTAATACTTTCTTAAGATAAGCTCATCTTTGAGTACACATGAATTAAAAACTCTTCTGTAATAGCACTGAGCCATTAAGTTTTTATATCTGCTTCTGGCATGACTGAAAAAATTCCTAGCCCTTTACCAACACAGAGGGACAGAAATAAGACCAGGCCTGAACCCACTCCAGGAGGAGGTTCTTGTTACTTTACCTGGAATCCCATCGGTCTGTTTTAGAGTCATACTTATAAGTGGGGATAAACTTGATTTCACCTTCGGTGAAGTCAGCAAAAGCTTTTTTCTGTGTGCGCTGAATATTTAGCTAGAAAGAAACATCACATAAGTAGGGTAACACCATCTTAATACAAGTGATAATCAGGTTGATCAGCCATTTCTAATTATCTAGTTCCACAGCCTTTGCAACTGATAAATAAAATTTCTGTACCTTGTGAATTAAAATCTTGCCATTCCCATAGCATCTAAACTCACCCACAGGTAGGATGCTCATTATGAGCACATCACTAATTTCTTATTGCTAATAGTCATTAGAAAATGGAAAAATGAAATGTGAATAATCGTAAGTTCTCCAAAGTTGGACAGGAACCATCTAGCACAATTTTAATTAAAAAAAAAACCACACACACAAATGTTGAATGTATAACTCCAAAAGCCAAATTCAGTGAATTGTTACAGAGCATTCTGAAAGTTATCCTTACTCAAATACTTTATCAGAATTACATAAGACTTAGAATTTATTCCAACTGTACCCGCTTTGAAAGCATGACAGAGGAAGAAATGCAAAGAAATCCACCAGCCAACTTCAATATGAAGATACAGCCAAATAAGGCTCACTATAAAAAACCATTCGACTGCAAAACTCCTAAATTTTTACTATTTCTGAAGGTCAAAAAGGCTTACATAAGGATTTAAAGACATTAAAATTAAGTTGAAACATTTTCTTCCCTCCATAAGCATTCACTTTTAGCAACCAGTATCCATAAGCTGAAGTAAAAATTCAAGTCACGTGCCAGGCTCCAAGGCAAATTTACAGAAAACTAGGTTCCTGAATATCAAGTTTTATAAAAATGTTACCAAATCTTTTCCCACAGGTTTTAACATCTATAAGCCAGATAGCCCCAACTTCTCAATCAGTTCCCATTAGACCACAGTCTGTGTTATTTATCCCAAACTTCTCTTCTGTTCTTCCCAATCCCTTCACAGGGCCTCCCTCTTTTACCTCCACACTGCTGCTAAGCCTGCCAAGTAATCACAGAGCAACTTTCCCTGTTCCATCTGCCAAACCACATCAACATAGCTGTAAGCCCACTTCCTCCAGGAAGTACTCTCCAGTTAACCCCACCCATTCTCCAACTTATTTATATAAATCTCTCAAATCTCTTCTTGATAAAGACAATGAACAAATGTTATATTTACTTTTTCTCTCCCCTGTTCCTATCCAAGCACTTTATAAAAGCACCACAAACCTTGTGTGTATTCGCTGCATCACTAGTCACACTGTTTCCCCAGGACAATGAGACCTTTCCATCTATTCCTAAAGACACACCTGCCACACACGTATCTCATAAACCTAACAATTTTATCTGCCACTTAGGAAAGTACCTACAACATGAAAATTTACTCACCTGGTCAAATTTCAAGAGTCTCTGAAGGTCATTCTTGTTAATAAGACTCTTCACTTCATTGGCATCAGGCATACAAAGTCTATAGTTCAAATCTCCCAACCAGATGACAACACTGAAGATCAAGAAATACATGAACAGGAGTAGCAATAATTAGCATAAAAAGTCAGAGAAAATGGAGAAAAGAAAACTAGGTAGATTATTGATAAGGATTCATTTATCACTACCTGAGATAAAGGGTTTAAGCTGTAACTTATCCTTTGGAGTGAAGTACTCCCAACACCTGTGAAGGACCAGGGATTACCAAATAGGTGGGAAGACAGGCATTCCATACGCGAAGAACAAAGATAGGGAAATACAGTGTTATGTGTGGGATTCAGAAGCCAAGGAGTTAACTGCCTAAAAGAAGCATGTAGTTTATTTGCTGGACTAGTGCCAAAATTTTGTCTGGCTGCCTGCCAGGTCTCCAAGGGAAGAGAATCTGAACATTTTCTGCCTCTCTGAGCCCTGACGTTCTGCAGGCTCTCCACTAAGGTCTGCGTGGTCTGAATGACAGCTCTCCCAGTCAGGACCCTAGCAAAAGTAGGTCCACGGCTCTCCACTATAGCCAATCTGCCTATTCCTGCCCCAGATCCACAGTCCAAGTCCCAGGCAGGAAGGAGACGGGCTTGCCACAGGAGTCTCAGGCTCCCAATCACCGTAACAGGCCCCTAGATGTGCTGAGAGTCCCCATAGGGCAGACTCTGAAATTACTACACTAAAAGGGATTCTCCTTGTGAGCTATCTCAAGTCCTGAATAGGTCTCTTTGCCAATCTTAAATGCAACATGAAATTTCTGGAATTCTGAGGAAATAAATGTAAGGAATTTCAGGGCAACTTTTTATTAATGTCAAGGCCTTGACTTTACTACCATGATACAGAACTGTATATGATCCTAATTGTTGAGACAATATGGAAACAGGCCAATATCACTACCCTTCCCTACTCTTTGCTCAATTACCCTACTCTACTGATTCTAATATCCAAATTATCTTTTTTTTCCTACTAATTCCCATCTCAAACCACTCTCTCAGAATTTCAATTACCATTATTAATTTCTTGACAATTAATCATTTTCTACCACCCAATCCATGCCTCAACTGATTTCTGCTTCTATCCTTAAGTCCTATTCTCCAAGAACCTTTCTCTCATCCTATCGATCCATTGTTGTCTACATCTCCATTGCCCCTATTCTTAATGATTCACAGTCACTAAGAATATATATATCTATATTCATATAAATATATAGATCTATATATACACATAATATATACAATGTATACATTATAATGTATACATTAATACAGGTAATATAATACACACATATACACACTGGCTTGGAAAGAGACCCACAATAATAGGACAATATAGTCCTATATAATAAGTGTGCATGTGTTTGTATATAGAGAGAGAAAGGTCTAGAACAAAGGAAATAAAATGCATGTCACAGATGTAATTTTAAATTTTTTAGTAGCTGCATTTAAAAAGTAAAAGAAACAAGTAAAAATAACTTTAACAATAAATTTCATTTAACTCAGTATATCCAGATTATCATTTCAACACGTAATCAACATTGAAAAACTGACATATTTTACATTTTTCCTACTGAGTCTCTGAAATCCAATGTACAGCTTATGCTTACAGCACATCTCAATTTGGTCTAGCTACTTTCAAGTGTCTAATAGCCACTTATGGCTACTGGCTGTCACAATGGACAGCACAGTTCCAGGATACACAGTGAAATGTTACTAACAGTTTCCTCTGAGAGACTGGCTGGGGAGAGCACAGTGATTTCTACTTTTAATTTTATCTTTTATTACATTTACAATAAACATTTCTATTTCATAATAAAAAACAATAAAAACTGACTCCAGCTGACAGACACCTCCAGCATTATTCTTACATGGCCACTAACAGAACTAATCCTACCTCCGATAGCAAATCTGATTTCTCTGCCTCAATGAATCTGCTATTCCTCAAAAACCCTCTCTTCTTTGCGACCCCAATCCCTAAATGGTAATCCTTCACTCTTCAGTTTCCTATCCGTTTAATCTCTTCTCAGCCCCACTATTCAAAGGCCAAAGGAGATTTAACCACTCACTCATGTTTCATGATGTTCAGCTGTGGGAGGGTCTGATTTGGGACCACAAAACTCATGCGTGCACAGATGTCCTTATAATCTTGATTCCTTCTCTCAAAGTCCTCCACGTGGGCAGCCAGGTGGGAATTGACAATGCAAAAGGTAGTGTTGTGAAATACAAATCTCACAGCTACCCCACCTTTGTTTCCCTGTAAGCAAGAGTAATTATTCAGTTAGTACAAAGACGCAACTAGCAGTTAAACTTCACACGGACATAAATAATAATCAAGCTCATTTCCAAAGTAACTCACCATTTTCCCCATGATTCCAGTTCCAACTGTTTCTGTAGCAACATCACGGATATAGCGCCACTGGTCCTTTCTGGCAAATATGAGGAGCATCATCCCAACAAGGCGGACTAGTTGAACCTACGAGTTCCAGGGAGTTAGAAGAAGGTTCATGTTAATACCACTCTTTGCCACACATCTAGTCACACAACTAATTTTCCACCAAGAAGATATTAATGATGCTCAAATCTGAATCCAAATCCTCTAATTTCCCAGGGGACCCCATACAAAGGAAACAAAATTTCTCTGGGGAAGCTCTTATCTGACTCTGACCAATAGGAGTTAAAAGTCTTTGGGGACATCAAGTACACTCAGCTCTAGGATCCATTATTTTAATCACTTGTAAACCTACCAGGAGTAGACAGTATTAAAAAATCAAATAAAAAACCCCTATCCCAGTTTGTTCCTTTCACTTCTCCTTCCTAGTTTCTGATTTCCAATTTCTTAAGAAATTAAAATTTATAAAATAGCAATATTTTTTACTTTGATTATTTTAAGTCTGAGAACTAGAGCTAGAAATACATCTAAAATACGTGTTAGTCAGGGACCTATATGACAGGAGTAACACCCTCAGGATTTTTATTACCTATTACCAACTGTTAGAAGAAGTAAATGAAAAATGTTCAGATGACTACTTTTAAAGGGCTTACTGTGGTAGCCATGTAATTAAAATAACTCTTCTGGTAGCCTCTACCACATGCTTTCTAAAGACCAACAAATTGGCCCACCTTGCTAAAGTCAACTCTACTTTTGATTTACAACAAATTTGAGAACTCATTTAAATTCTACAACACTTCTTACTGATTTCACAGCATACCCTATGCACCCACATGCTTCAAACTACTTTTCTGTAAAGCATCCAGTTCTGACCATGTCAGTGAACAATTCTGATCTTAAACTTTTACTGTTACCTTATAAGTAATTATTTTAAGCTAATTATCATTCTGAGAATAAAATTCTTCTTTTCTCCTAAAGCTACCTAAGCAATGAAAATATAGGATCAGAAAGCTTAGGAAAACTTTTTTCTAGAAAAACAGGTGTAAAGGATTAGTCTGCCCTATTGCAGTATTACACACAGGGAAGAAGTCGATTAAACCATTCTTTTGGAACAAGTTATAGATAACAGAATAACTTCTAGGGAGTTCTATTTAGTTGTATATTAAAAAAGAAAATCAAACGCAGTTTACTTTCTTATACTTGGCTTTGGAATGCAAACCCCTCTCCACAGCCATGGACCACTCTTGTTCTTTCACAGATTCAAAGTAGAAAAAGGCTTCTGTGCTCAAGTCCAGCTCTTGGAATCTGAAAAAAAACAAACAAACGAGAAGACTTGAGATCTATACATATCCCATAATTATCTCTGTCTACCTCCTTTCCCATTTTCTGAGACATTAGGTGAAAAGAGAATGGGGAAAGAGATAAATTTTTAGAGAACTGCTCTATTGACCCAGGTGATCAGTAAGGACAAGCAGCTTTCTTTTTCAAAAGACCCTCTATAAGTATATGCACAGACTATGCAAAATAAATCTTATAAAAGGGGGCAGGCACCTGGGTGGCTCAGTCGGTTGAGCAGCTGACTCTTGATTTCAGCTCAGGTCATGATCTCAGGGTCCTGGGATCCCTGCTCAGTGGAGAGCCTGCTCGAAGATTCTCCCTCTCCCTTCTCCTCTCCCTGTCCCTCCCCCTGCTTATGCACTCACTCTCTCTCTCTCTCGCTCTCTTTCAAATAATAAATCTTTTTTAAAAAAGTATATGCACAGACTATGCAAAACATAAAAAACAAACAAAAAAATCCTCCACAAGGGATAACAGTGGAGCGCTGTTTATATATCCTAGGAATAATCACTGTTGGAATTGACCTCAAGTCTGTTTCTATTAAGAATGCAATTTTCTTTGCATTTTGAGAGGACTAGATGTTTCCTTTCACCATTTCAGGTATCATTCCTTTCTTATCTCATAAATTTGACCTACAAGTTAATTCTCACATATAGTCTACAGTGAATTTTTACCAAATAGTTAAAAAAGAAAAAGGAGGGCAAAATGTCATGGAAAATAATACCAAACATATAGCCAAAAGGAAATTCCAGATGTGTTCTTTACCCAATGCAGTAGATATCAGGAGGATTTGAATCACAGTTCAGCCAAGGTTCCAACTCACTATCTGGAGACTGGCCATTCACGTTCCACGTTCCAACAAAAAATCTAATACACAATACCAAAAAATTATTTGAAAATGAAGGTCAAGTATGAACCAATGAAGTTCTCTCATCACTTTTATACAAGGGTATGTTCACAATAAGCCAACATAATTTCTCAAAATGTTTTGCTATACACATAAGAAACACCTCTCACACATACAACACAAAGGCAGTGGGCTTAATTCTCTAAAGTTTACATTAGATGAACCCACAGAAAGGAACTAAGTTGCTATTTAAAAAATACAAAGTTAATTGCTCTATCACATTTCTTTTCAATTAAACTCCACCCAAACTTATACTTGAAGGGAGAGCTTGTAGATGGGAAAAAGGTATCTTCATGCTGTAAATACACCTAATGTGGATAACTGTTCTATAAGGAGCTATAGTTGAATCCAAAAACTCACTTCCCGAAGGATTACAAGGACATCTGTGTAGGAAATTCTGTTGAGGCAGACACAGTATTAAGGGGGAAAGTGGAAGGGAAAACTCCTGTCTTAACTGTTTACATACAAAAAAAAGCATCATGGGGAATATGAGAAACTACAGGTTTTAGCATAGGGATATGGTTATAATTGAATTAGAACAAATGAGGCATACTGGGATAGCAGATGGGACCGGAATCTTGGACTATTAAGCGTACGTGTTGTTCACAAACAACAAAAAGAAGTGTTGCTGCTTTGCACACCAGAATACACGCCATGCTACACCGCACACACTACGTCCAGAAAAGATACCAATAAGTAAATGTGATACGAAAAATATGATACAGAGGAAAGAATCCAAGACAGACCTCTCAATCAAGAGGACTGGGTGAAATTTTCTGTAGTTAACTTACCAAAGTAAGTAAGTTAAGCTTATGGTAATGGCAGACATTAATCTTCAAATATTGGTGAGAAAAAATTCAGCAGGCCAGAAAGATAAACACACTTGCTTAGGGAATGTGCTAGGGGATAATCCTCTAGTACATGGGAACTTGATTTGGTTCTGAGTGGTTAGAACCATTAGCAGACATAGTATCATTAGTAGTTAGAAAATCCAAGGGAAATTGTAGCATTTGTGTTATTTTGTTCATGTATGTTATTGACCGATATAGAGACAGGGGCTTGAGCCAGCTGACCATTCCTTTTATTATGCTTTGATTCTTAATTAAGCTAATTAAACTAATACCTTAAATAACAAACAGCCATTGTATGCCATACCTCAGTAAGTAGAAGAGAGACTAACCTGAAATTCTGAATGTTGACATATTCTTTCTCTCGCTTTGCCAGGATATGTTTGATGAGACCCTCCCGCTGCCCAGCCTGGGTGTTTGGTACAAAGAGTTTCCGCATGGTGTTGGTCACTTTGGGCTGTTCCTTGTTAGAAGCTTCTTTGTCGCGTGGAAGCCTAGCAAATCAATGAGAATTTCAAAAGTGAAACTGCTTATAATAAAAAAAGTCTCCTAAATGGGAAATATGTCTTGACACAGGACTTACATTCTATTCACTGAAGGGGGTGGGGGTGGGGGTTCCCGATGAATCCCTATAGGATGATTTTGTGAATTAATTTTCTTGTCCAAATTCATAGATGAAAAATTATCCTCAAATCCAAGAAGCCCTGAAGTACACAGAACCCAGAGTCAAAGATAACATCCAATTTATCCAGGATAGACAGAGCTTTGTTTGGATCAGCGGTTTTAATTTGATCACTATATGCTCAATGGCATTACCAAACAGAAAGGTACCATAAGGATACCCTGAAGGACTTGACATACAAACTAGAACAATAGCAAGTTACATTAATTTGGAATCTGAATAGTAACAGCTAACATTTATTAAAGACTTAGCATAATGCCTATTTGATATAAGGGATTATATCATTATCTCCTTTAATCATCATAAAGACCCCATGAAGCCAGTACTATTAAAAATCTTTCCATGTTACAGAAAAAGAAATGGACGCTCAGCATTGTTGAGTAATTTGACCAAGGTCATACATAACTAGCAAGTCATAAAATTGGGATTTAAACCCAAGCAGTCCGGCCCTGGAGCCTGCAATTTTTACCACACTGCTAAGCAGGCTCCTGAGGAGCTAACATGCCACAGAAAGGATCAGGAATGAACATTAGTCAGTGGGCATGGACTCAGTAAAACCACTCCATAGCAGAAGGTGTCTGGGATTGACATTAATCCACATTATCTTATCTGTCCAGATAAAATCTATTTACTCTGCAATGATCATAGCAACCGGGCAAAAGAGAATCTTTTCAGTACCTGAAAAAACAGGCGGCTTGTCCTTGGTGTCTAATTTCTGATACCAGCTAGATGAGTCCTTTTGCTCTGGAACAAGAAGTTGTGACTGAGCTAGAGAGATAAGAGTCATGGTCAGAAACAGGGGAGCCCTTCATTGAGTGGGATTTACCATAACCAAAAGCCATTCCCTCAGCACTCCTCAAATGCAGGGGCCAGAAGCATTCTTAAGTGTAAAGGAAGAGACGAAGAGAATGAGGGCAGCTCTGGGATCATCTGGGAGCAGAAGGAGGATTATAGTCTTCAGGAAACTGTCCATGCTGTGACACTGAAGATTCTGAAAAATGGCTCAGTGTCCTTACAGCTGAATAGACTTGTTCCCTAACCTAACCCTGGGTTTGTTCCTGAAAGCAGAAAAATCAGCACTAAAGACTGAAGGCGTGAGGTACTTTGCTAATGGCTGCTTGCCTCTGCATTAGCATGTCAGAATTTCACTGCCATTCAAAGAGCAGAAAGAAAACTGCTGAGTCTTGAGTTACCTTCCTGAGCAGCAAGGACCTCTGAGAGGAACTTCAAACAGTGTTCCTCATCAGGGATTTCAAAGCGCCGCTCTCTGGTCCGGTCCCCCTGAACCCGAATTTTGCAGCCACCTAAAAAGAAGTGAAATCCACACACATATAGCTATGGAATACATGCTTTCTCGGAGTCACACTCTCAACTTATCAGTTTAACAGGAGAAGGTCCAAATCACAAATATTCTAAGACCTCTAATGTAGGAAACATGTCTATAGGATCAGGGGATTTGGTGGGTGGGGGGCGGAATACAGGGAGGGAAATCTAAAGGGCTGATGAACTGTGTCAGTGAGCAGCCCAATTATAGTGATATGATACATACTAAAATCAGTTCTCCTATGTTCTATCTCCCCAATGTCAATGCAGGGACCAAATTCCAATGAAAGATCACTTCCCCAACCACCCTCCTCCCATCTCCCAGCTGGAAATTTCTACCATTTCAAATCCAGATTATATAGAGTATCTGAAGCATAAAGGGAATAAAGAAAATGAGATGGTTTGCTCCTAGGTATAGACTGTACCTAGGCAATTGAATTTATAAACTAATTTAAAAAGAAAAGAATAGTGGGATTGGTTTGAATTATTCTGAAAAGAAGCACCTATACCTCATTACCTCAAGTAAAAAACGCATGTCTTGAATAAATGTACGAAAGCAATATAATGACCTATGACCAACAGTGGTCCAGTTCAAGCATTTCCATTATACCAGAAAACAGTATAATGAGCAGCAAAGTGATCTAGGACATTAGTTTCTTATGTATATAACATACTGTCTCCCTTTTTCTGACGCCCTAGTTATCATATGTATCAACTGTCTGGATATGGTGATCCAGGAAACCCATGTATTTGTTTATATTCTTAACTGATTTAGTACATATATTGCTTTCTCATGCCCCTGGAAACCGTAAGTTCCTTGAGAGAAGAGGCAGACTGCACATACAGGTAATCCAACACAACACTTTCGATGATCTCCTAGGGTTGTCTGGGACGGAAGGGCTTCTCAGGACTCGGGACTTTCAAAGTGAAGACTGGGAAAGTCCCAGGCAAACCAGGATGATTGGTTACTTTACAGACAGAGAAGCATTTAATAGATGACTGTTGAACCTGTCAGACTTCACAGAGAGAAGGCATTTAATAGACGACTGTTGAAACAGACTCCCTCACACTTGTAAATGACAGAGATGAGAAAATGAAATGGAGGGGTGCCTGGGTGGCTCAGCCGTTAGGCGTCTGCCTTCAGCTCGGGTCATGATCCCAGGGTTCTGGGATTGAGCCCCGCATCGGGCTCCCTGCTCCGTGGGAAGCCTGCTTCTCCCTCTCCCACTCCCCCTGCTTGTGTTCCCTCTCTCACTGTGTCTCTCTCTGTCAAATAAATAAAATCTTTAAAAAAAAAAAAAAAGAATGAAATGAAATCTTAGTTTCTTATGTTGGAAATCCACTTCTGAATCTCTCTTGCCTTTGCATTTCCTTATGTTTCTATCTTCATAGATTTAGCAATTAGAAGAAAAGAGATAAAAAATAGAGAAAAATGTGAAAAAGAAGGCACCCAAGTGGACCACAGATAAGAAAATTAGTGAGGGTGTTACCGTAAGGAGAAGAAAAAAACAAAGGGCATGAATAAAGGCTGTCAATTATCACGGCCTTGAAGATACAGGGAAAACCTCCTTCAGGGTACAAGCAGTCCTCCCTTTCTCAGATACTTTATATAAAAAATAGAAGAAAATTAAAAGATCTGTTTCTATTTGATAGAAACTTAAACAAGAACACATAATCTCTCTCTCCCACAATCCTTGAAAGATATATAATAATCTTAGCAAATATAAAAAATACACTGACTCATTTAACAGAAAATTCCAGAAATTGCTTACAAAATAACACTGGATACTCTCTCACCATGTTGTATGGGAAAGAGTACAAATTACCCCATGACCCAACCTTCTACTACTCTTCCTTCCAAAACCCCCTAGCGTCTTTGTGATCAACAAACGCTCCTATATCCTCAAACTTCTCCTCTGAACATTCCCTGCATCTCTCAGTAATTCTCAACTATTGGTGTATTAGAATTACCAGAGACATTTTTAGAAAATAGACATTTGGGTCCCACCCCAGCCCAATGAAGCAGAATCTCAGGGGGTGAGGCTCAGGCACTGCTAGTTTTTAAAATACTCCCCAAGTGATTCTAAAGTGTATCCAAATTGAAAATCAAAGAGTCACCTGTGAAGTGGCTGGTCCCTGGATGCTGTTTATGGTCTCTCACACCTTATGGAATTTAAGACTGGTGTCCTTATTTGTCCTAACGCCATCTCCAGACCATTCCTTCTTATTCTCCCTCGAGACAAATCATTTTCCTTTTAGGTTCACCCATTGGGTTATACCAACTTCTTCCCTTCCCTCCTCCCTCTATGAGATCATGTACCATCCTCCCAAAAACATGTGAATCCAGGATTCAATACCTGACTCATATGACTTCCTCTCCACGCAAACTCTTGCCTTAAATTTGGGTCCCTTACAAATTAGTGCAGAAAACACAATCAACGTCTTCAGCTTCCTCATCCAATGACCTTGGCCCACCATCTCAGCCACCTACTCCTTCAGTCCCTACTGGGATTTCTCTCAGTTATACTCTGAACCTTTTCATCATAGAAACCATCACCTCATAAATCTCTAATTCAAATATCCCATTCTGACCTGTTACTTCCAGCTTACTTGCTCATATGGGAACCTCCAGCCGATTGATCCCTCTACTTTCTTAGTATCCATTCGCTCACTCCTGCTTTCACTTTCTATTTTGTCTAACAGATGTCATCATTAAACTCTGTTGCAAAAGCTCAGAACTGCCTTATCACCCTGTTCTTCCACAGCACCTACCGCCTTACCACCCTGTTCCTCCACAGCACCTACCTGGTTAACTTTGAACCCTCAGAAATCCAACTAACTGCCTTACTCCAGAGGGAGTAAACACACACACACACACACACACGCACACACACACACACACACACACCCTATTATTATAAAATGATTGCTAACCTCAACTGGGCCCTCTATGATAGGAAGTCATCTAAGTTTCCACAGTCAACTAGTCTCTCACTGCTATCTGGAACAACCATTTCACACCTCCTCATTTATCCTTAATTTTTGGATCCCCTCTTCTCAAACCCTCTCATTCCAAGTGGATTACTTCATCTCAGGCTTCAGAGAAAATGGAAGCCATCACATGGAACGTCTCCTTTCCCTTCTGGTATAAGAGGAGTGCTCCTATCAAAGGACACCTTCTCTTTGAATTATAACCCCTCCGATTCTCTCAGGAACCTTACACTCACAATCATTCCCCAGACACCTCCCCCCAATATCTTTAACCTCCCTCTTTCACAGGCTCCTTCCCATTAGCATTAAATTGTGTTCTAAATCCTCCCTATTTTAAAAACAATAAACCTTCCTAGACCCCATATTCCCCTCCAACTCCAGTCCATCTCTACATTCCCCTCCACAGTAGAGCTTTTTTTAAAAATATTTTATTTGTTTGTCAGAGAGAGAGAGAGAGAACAAGCAGGGGGAGCATCAGGGAGAGGGAGAAGCAGGCTCCCTGATGAGCAGGGAGCCCGATGTGGGAGGGACTCAATCCCAAGACCCCAGCATCATGACCTGAGCCAAAGACAGACGCTTAACTGACTGAGCCACCAGTCACTTCTCACCTCCCATTTCTCTCGTTAATCCACCCCAATATGACTTTGGCTCCCACAACCCTTCTAAAATATCTTTGTTAAGGTCACCAATAACTTCGAAATTGCTAAATCCAATAGATCCTCTTCAGTCATCTTATTAGACCTATCAGCAGAAATCAATAGTTGACCAGTTCTTGAATAATCTTTTCTGAAGGCTTCTATGATACTATACTCATCTAGTTTGCCTCTCTCTTTTTGGTCACTAATTTTTTTAGTGCCCTTTGAGGTATCTCCTCCTCTATCTAACCTTTAAAAAAGCAGGGTTCCTTAGAGTTCAATCTAAAACCTTTTTCTCACTTGGTATCAGCACTGTCCAATATGGTAACCAATAACTACATGTGGCTAATGAGTACTTGAAATGTGACTAGTGTGACTGAAGAACTGAACTTCTAATTTTATTTCTAATTAATTTAAACAGGCACATGTAACTAGTACTACCATATCTGATAGCATGGCTCTATTTCCAATCACATCATCTCTCATGGTTTCAAATACCATCTATGTGCTAGTGGCCCAGACCTTTCTTCTGAGCTTCAGATGCATACATTCAACTGTCAATTTATCATCTACACTCAAATGTCTCAAAGAAATCTCAAACTAAACATAGCTAAAACTGAATTCACGACCCCCCTCAAAGGAAAACTCATTCCTTCTGCAATGTTCTTATTTTTGCAAATGGTACCATCATCCACATTCATGCTAGTAACCTAAGAGTCATCCCTGACACTTCTCTTCAACTCACTACCTATGCCCAAACCAACCTCTGTTGATTTAACCTCCAAAAACATTTATCAAATCTGTCCACTTCTCTCCATTTATACTGCCACCATACTCATATTCTCTAGCTTAAACTCTTTTTTTTGAAAAGAAAAAAAAAGGTTTTTTTAAAGATTTTATTTATTTATTTGACAGAGAGAGCGTGCGCACAAGCAGGAGGACCGGCAGGCAGAGGGAGAGGGAGAAGCAGTCTCCCTGCTGAGCAAGAAGCCCAATGTGGGGCCCCATCCCAGGATCCTAGATCATGACCTGAGCTGAAGGCAGACGCTTAACCAACTGAGCCACACAGGTGCCCCAAGATTTATTTATTTTAGAGAGAGTGTGTGCATAAGCCGGGGGGTGGGGAGGAGGAAGGACAGAGGGAGAGGGAGAGAGAGAATCTCCAGCAGACTCCCCGCTGAGCACAAAGCCCAGTCAGCCAGATCCCACGACCCTGAGATCACAACCTGAGCCAAAATCAAGGGTCAGACGCCCAACTGACTGAGCCACCCAGGTGCCCCTCAAGCTTAAACTCCTGAAACAGCCTCCTAACTGGCTTTCATGCAAATGATGACACCCTGGCATAAAATCCTTCATATTCTTCCCATTTTTAAAATGTAAAAATCCAGATTCCTTAACATGGCTTACAAGATCTTACTGGATCCGGCCTTAGCCCATCCTAACTTGATGCCTAAGCCTTGTTCCAGTCACCCTGGCCTTCTTTCATTTCAAAGAAAGTGTCAAGCTACTTCCCCAATTTGGGGCCTTTACACATGTAGTTCCTTTTACCTGGCATACTTTTCTCTCCATTTTTACCCCTCTCTTACTTAGCCCCTCTGGTCTCAATTTAAATGTCACTTAAAGAGGCCTTCCCTGGGCACCTGGGTGGCTCAGTCGTTAAGCATCTGCCTTCACTCAGGTCATGATCCCAGGGTCCTGGGATTGAGCCCCACATCGGGCTCCCTGCTCAGCGGGAAGCCTGCTTCTCCCTCTCCCCCTGCTTGTGTTCCTTCTCTCGCTGTGTCTCTGTCAATTAAATAAAATCTTTAAAAAAAAAAAAGAGGCCTTCCCTGACCATGTCACCTAATTTAGTTAACCCTCTTATAAACTCTTTGTATTTCTCCTTGATAGCATTTATCAAAACTGCAACTACGTAAGTATTTACATTTATCAGTTCAAAGTCTGTTTCCTGTACTGATTGATGATATAACCTAACTATATTGCTTTCTGATATATCTCTAGAGCCTAGCCCAGTGCCTAGCACATAAAAGATACTCATATTTTATAGAATGAATTAATGGATTATAGGCATCTAGTACCAAACAGCACAGAAGCAAGAACAAAAGCAGGAGCAACAATCTTATCTATGCTGTTCTCTACTGATTCTGCAGCACTTAGAACAGTGCCTGGCAAACAGAAGACACTCAACAAATATTTGTTAAATAATGAATAAACAAGGGAAGATTTAATATTAGGAAATTAGTATAATACAGTCCATCAATAGGTCAAATAAGGAATAATAATATAACCATCTCTTTAAATAGTGTAAAGACATCTGATAAAATTCAATATACATTTATGATTTTAAAAACCACATAAACTTGAAATAAATGCAGTTTCTGAATATGGTTTTTAAAAAACCCTATCAAATCAACAGGCAATCATGTCCTCAACAATGAAGCACCACCTGAGGCATTCTTACTGAAAATAGGAGCTAAACAAGGATTATCATCATTATTTAATATTGGTCTTAAAATTCTCATTGGTGTAATGAGACATGAAGCAAAACTAAGAGTTATAGGTACTAGAAAAGAGACAAAATTATTATTTGCAAATGACTAGGGCTGTCTATCAAAACCAAAAAACAAAATAAACAGCACCCCCAAAATTTTAAATATATTTCTATAAGGTGGCTGGATAAAAGATAAATATCTAAAACTCAGTAACTATTAGTTAAGACCATGTTCCTTGAGAGTGTCTTAATTTTATAAAGGACTTAATTTATTAAAATTTGGCACATACCTATGGTGAAATACTAGTCATTAAAAATCATGTTTTTAAATAATTTTAAATGACATGGAAAAAGCTCACAATATAATGTTAAATGAAAATGCAGCACAAAAACTACATATAAAGATTCCAGTCATATAAAAACATAAATAAAAGGCTGGAAGGAGATACCTAACAATGTTAACTACAGTGGTGATCTCTAGATTGCAGGAACATAATTTTAATTTGATACTTCAAACTTTTCTGAATTTTCCAAATTATATATAATGAAGATATATTTATTACCTCAATAATCAGAAAAAATATTTTAAAATGTTTAATACCAACATCCACACAATGGGGAAACACATATTTACATTAAAATCAGGCCTGCCTAACAAACCCAGGGCCTCTCTCCTGCAACATACTATATGCTCTAAAGGTTTGTGTATGAAGCCCAAAGATCAAGATAAAATCTGGTTTCACTGCAAATATTACTAAATGGGCAGAAATAACAAAGGATTTTATTCAAGGGGTTACTGAACTATTACCCTGCTATGATCCAGTAACTCGAACTCTGGACAGAGCAACATGTGGCTAATTTCTATGTAGGAGAAGCCAAAGGAACTAATGCCATAAATAGGTGTTTATAAGAGAAAAGGCACAACTCAGTTTAACTTTTCAGCTTTGGATCAAATATCTATTTCTACAGCAAGAACAGGACATTCTGGCATTTTATTTCGACAGCAATGTCAGTCACTACTGAACTGCCTTTGCTCAAATTTTGCTTTTTTAGTGTTGTTTCTGCCTTCTCCTTTCTAAGCACAATAAGACATAGATAGTAAGTTATTTGCTCTCTTGGATACCTGCAGAAATCAGCAGCTAGCTTTATTTAGCTTTTCAGAATTAACCCTTAAGACTTCTAAAATCCATGACCAAAGAAAAGAATAATAAAACCCAAATCAGAAAAAGCCTATCTAAACTGTTCAATACAAATTAATGGTGGCAAGGACAGGGACTGTTTCTAAACAAAATTATGTATAACCCATAGCCCCAAGCTAAGGGCTAAACCCCACTCATCCAAGGACTCAAGCAAAAGATAAGGCAACTGGTTTTACATTCATGTGGTCACAAACTCTTTTCCATAGCAACCACTGAGTCGTCAAGGTAGCATTCAAGTGCCCATTTTCTCCTCCCCATAACCCAGTACAATTAGATGATAAACAGAGAACAGCTTGCACAGAAAGTCAATGATGATTTGCTTCAAACAGATAAAAATGAGAAAACTGAAACAGTGAGAAAGAAGACCATGTTCTTTCTGATAAAGGGATGCCTTGAGGGGATGGAGCTTAAATAAAAGACCAAAATTATTTTAAGGAAAAAGAGGTAGCCCGAGACAAGCAAGGAATCCCCAGTACAAGAGGGACTCTATAGCCTCCCAAAATAATATAACGAATAAAGGAAAACATTATGATTTAATATGCAAAAATAAAAAGCGAGTTGAGAAAAAATGTTAAAATATAACAGCAGTTAAAAAAGACATAAAACCACTGATGGTAAAAATACTGATGGCTCAAAGAAGTTCAGCATTAGAGAAGCAGATCACATCTTCAACTTTTTAAAGATTCTTGCCAGCCACCTACTTTTTCTTATGTTTAGAAACTAAATGTTTTTAGGGGGCAAAGTTAACTTGTACGGCTGCCTTAAGGAAACGAAGAACACAGGATAAGATGGTAAAATTAAAATGTGCCAAAAAAGGGGTCTTAGTGGGTATTCAATTAAATATATGTTGAATGAAAATAAATTCCATTCAGAATGGTACTCACTGTTTGAAGCTATATCAATCAAAAGAGTTTCTTCTGCTTCTGAGGGAAAAGAAGAAAGAACAGGATCAGGGGAGAGAAAACCATTCATTACAACTAAAAGAAGTATACGCCTAAGTAAATAACTGCTTCTCGCAGTCACCACTCCTAGGTCTTAGAAAACATTTTAAAAATCCTTTGCTTTTTTGTTTAGCATTTTTAAAAATGGATTTGGAAGCACTAGGTTCTAAAGATATTGAGCAATTCAACTAAAAGAAAACTAAACTGAATAACCAAATGGAACACCTCAAAGCAAATCAAGGAACGATAATAGCAGGCAATATAAACACGTTAATTCAAGTGAAGGTGAGTTTAATTCCCCTCAACTATAACATACTGATTTAATATAATCTAACTGCGTCACTTAGTTAATTCTTTTTTTAAAAAAGATTTTATTTTTAAGTAATCTCTACACTCAACGTGCGGTTCAAACTTATAACACCGAGATCAAGAGTCACATGCTCTACTGACTGAACCAGCCAGGCGCCCCTAGATAATTCTTATAGAAAGCCAAGGGGCACCTGGGTGGCTCAGTTGGTTGAGCATGCAACTCTTGATTTCAGTTCAGGTCATGATCTCAGGGTCATGGGATAGAGCCCCACATCTGCATCCGACTCCATCCGGCTCCGTGGGCTCCATGTGTGGGGCTCCCTCCTCCTCTCGTCCTCCCCCCACTCTCTAAAAATGAATAAATTTTTAAAAATCTAAAAAAAAAAAAAAAAAAGCCAAGGAAGTGACCCCAAAGGCCCAGAGTGAATTACTTTCTTAACTCAGATTTTGCCTCTGAAAACTTCCCAGTGATCTCATTTCCTCTGCCTCTGCCTCTGCCCCGTTTAGGATCAGAGAATACTTTAAGCTCTTGACCTTCAGGCTACAATTAATACCTGGGATCAGGACTACCACATCCAACAAGGAAGTATAAAACAGGGCAAAGCACAGTCTCCAAGTTCAGAGTTCTCTTTTCTCCCAGATGACTCTCTTGGACTTCCTTCCTTACCTCCAGTGTCTAGATGTAACCCATCTCTTCCTCTCTGACTTCCCTGGATTTGGCCAACAGCACCTGTGAGACCCTCCTGGCTAGTTGAACTCTGGGTACTGACTCCTTATGATTACCCTGGATTTCCCTTGGCCAGATCCAGTAGTCTCAGCCTTTTCTTGCTCCCTCACAAGCCTGGATTATATATTTGGCCCCATTATTCAGTTACTACAGTAGCTACTGGTGAATAGTTGTCTAATATTAAAAAAATAGCCTCGGGGCACCTGGGTGGCTCAGTTGGTTAAGCGACTGCCTTCAGCTCAGGTCATGATCCTGGAGTCCCGGGATCGAGTCCCACATCGGGCTTCCTGCTCCGTGGGGAGTCTGCTTCTCCCTCTGACCCTCCCCTCTCTCATGCTCTCTCTCTCTCAAATAAATAAATAAAAATCTTTAAAAAAAATTAAAAAAAAATAGCCTCAATATTCTCATTAGCATGATGAAGCAAGGGACAATAGTGCATCAGGACATAAGTACTGTAAGTTCCCCACTGTTCTTCAGTAACTTTAATTCTTTAAAACCCAAGTATTGGGGTGCCTGGGTGGCTCAGTCGTTAAGCATCTGCCTTCGGCTCAGGTCATGATCCCAGGGTCCTGGGATCGAGCCCCGCATCGGGCTCCCTACTCCGCAGGAAGCCTGCTTCTCCCTCTCCCACTCCCCCTGCTTGTGTTCCCTCTCTCGCTGTCTCTCTCTCTGTCAAATAAATAAAATCTTAAAAAAAAAATAAAACCCAAGTATTTATAGACTTATCAAAATAGATGCACAGGTTGGGAAACAGAAAGGATGTAAAAACTCAAGGAAGTAACTGTTCCTTTTGTTACCGGGAACTACTATGTGTATATACTATGCATATTTTCTTAGATCACAATTTAACAATCTAACAATCTATCATCTATTTCTTATTAAAAAAGAATACTAAGAGAAATAGGGTAAAAGAAGCTGTAGAAATAGTACAAAATAGGTATAGAGTTAATAGGATGCTAAAACCTAAGGTCATGTTCTTTGGCTTTTCACCTCCTTAAAGGGCTAGGTATGTAATAAATGGTGCTACACCATGAAAAGTAAAATGACCACAGCAACTTACTATGGCATGCAGGTGCCTTATTCAGTATGTCCCTCTCACACAGGGCAGGCTAAATGGCTATTTCATTCTTCTATACAATGTGGATACTATTCATTGCAGGCATTTTTAATTCTTAATATATATTGTCTTTAAAAGTCATACACATTAAAAAAAAGTCATACCCATTTAGTATTTCTATTTACAGGAATAAATCCTAATAAGAGATGTGCAAGAAGATTTATGTACAGAGATATTCATCACATTACTATTTAAACTAGTGAAAAAAAACCCGAAATGTCAAACACGGATATAACTACATTATGGGCTCTTCATAAAATGGCATAGTACATACCTATTAATAGCATGGAAAAGCAATCATAATGTGATGGCATGCAGAACACGCAAAAAATTACATATAGTATGAGTTCTGCCCACCCTAAAAATTACATGTGTAGAAAAAAAGGAAAATGTTAGGTGTTTATCTCTGAAGAATGGGAATGTACTTATTTTCTTTATACTTTTCTAGTCTTTCCAAACTTTCTACAGTATATGTATTACTTTTGTGATAAAAAAAAACTTCAATGTAACTTAAGAAAAAAAATCTGTGCAAGGCAATATTCAAGTTTTTCAAAAAGCTACAACTGATACAGAATACTTTCTTTTTGATGACGCCAATGAACCCACTGGAAACATAATGCATTTGTTCTCTAGTAATCAATTTCCCTTCTAGAGCAATGTGAGATAACAGAAGCAACACCTCCCACATAAACCTCCCAAATTTTGAGTATCATTGTAGCAGATGAAACAACAGATTTTCTGTTCTTTGTCTCCAAATTTGAGGGCAGGAAGCCAAATATTTCCTCCTTGGAGTCAATTTTCTTATGATTCACCAATGTCAAGGTCTGAGAATCAGCACAATTGAGTGTAAGGTATTAAAATCTGGTAAGGCTTGTTGCCAAATGTTTTAATTTCAAATAGTGTGGGGAAAAAGTGCTGAATGTGTGTGAATCCAAGTGACCTTGATACTTTACAATGAGCAGTGTGTTTGTTAAACCAAAGAATGTCATTTAGATCCACATACAGGTCCATAAGCATAAAAGCCTACCTACATAGGTAATAGACTACATACATCTCTAACCCCCAGCCAGGGAAGCAGGTGAGTATTTCAGTACAACCCTTCAGCACTCACAGACAAAGCACTTACCATCTTCTCCATGGTAGCTTAGTAATGTTATCATTTTATGCAAAGAGTAATACATTTCATTTTATGTATGGTATTTAAATATGTATGGTATTACACAATGCAATAATGACCAAGGAAAAACATTGTAAAACTAGCTAGGCAATTAAAGCTAGTACCTTGAACACATCTGAAGTGGCTATTTATAGGAATGATATCTTGAACATGCTGTTCCTTCTCGCGCAACTGGATTATTAACCTAGGAAACAGAAGAATGCATCAACGAATAGCTACTGAAAAACTCAAACATTTAACAACAAAATATACTGCTGTGTTGTTACACAAATCTAGTCTATATTAGACTTACTGTATCTCATTCCCTGGATCTGAGCATCACGACAGCTAGAAATTGCTCTAGATCTAAGAGGGTATTAGTGATGATCAGTATCTGAATACCCACACTGTCCTACGCCATAAAGAATATATAATAGTCTATGTCCTAAACACAGCTTACGATCTTAAAAACAAGAATTATAGTGCATACACATTTAGAGTATGCATACCAGAGTGAAGAGTAGCTAGGTGTGCACTCCATGAGGGCAGACTATGGTTGTCTTTTCACCACAGTACTTCTAGCACCTAGCATAGTGCCTGGAACTCAGTACTCACTCAAGTTTGTTGAATAAATGAATTAGAAATTTCATAAATTAGCTTTCATATTGTATTCCCATGGCTTTTACCAAAGAATGGTTCTGTCTCTTCAAACAAGTATACAGGTTCATGGAGAAGTAAGAAGAGGTGCCCAGCCAGCTGGATCAGTTAAAATAACCCATGACCAACAGGGTAGCAGATATCACAACCAGTGCCTTTACATTCCTTGTGTTTTTACTCTGGTTTCCAACTTCATGATGGTATTTCTAGGTAAACATGACTGAATTTGGCCCCCCAGTATGAAATGAAAGACTTCTAAATTCCTATGCACTCCAGAAATATTAATTTTCATTTACTACTTATCTTAGTGGCCCAGAATCAAGGTATGACCTACTGGTAAACAACCATTCTGAACATCTCTTAGCTTCCCCAAATCAGGCAGTCTTCAGGTGGTTCTTTTTGCCACGAATACTCTTCTTTTCTTCCTGAGACCTAGCTCAAATATCACCTCCTCTTAGCAGCTTCTCCTAATTCCCCGAAGCAGAACCAGCCCTGATCCCCTTTGTTTACCCCTCTAATAAAGCACGTACACCATCCATTGCAGTTATATTTATTTCCCTCACTGATTTGAGCTCTTTGAAAACAAAGACCATATCATACTTGGGTTTTCCTTCCTGCCTAATGGATGCTCAATAAATATTGGTTGAATAAATGAACCAGTTTAACTAAACTATATACAGAGATAATTTTCTAAACCATTTGTTCAACCTCTGACATTAAAAAATGTCATTGTGGGGTGCCTGGGTGGCTCAGTCAGTTAAGTGTCTGCCTTCGGCTCAGGTCATGATCCCAGGATCCTGGGATCAAGCTCCACATTGGGCTCCCTGCTCAGCGGGAAGCCTGCTTCTCCTTCTCCCACTCCCCCTGCTTGTGTCTCTCGCTATGTCTCTCTCCGTTAAATAAATAACTAAAAATCTTCAAAAAAATGTCATTGTTTTGAAGGGTTTTATTTCTAGTTTGTTGTCTTTTGGGGGGACTTGTTTTAGCTTTATGAATTTTTTTTTCAAATGTGTTAACTTTAAAGGAGATAACATGGGGAAAGGAATTACTTAGAACTAAGGGGAAATAAAAATATTAATGCTGTCTTTCGGCTCTGCTTGCCTAATTTGCAAGGGTTCATATTTTAAGGCGACTAGAGGAATATGGAGCAGGCTCCTTTTTTTAAGATTTCTTTATTTTAGAGAGAGAACATGTGTGCATGAGTGGGGGGAGGGGGAGTGGGAGAGGGAAAGAGAGAATCTCAAGCAGACCCCCTACTGAACACAGAGCTGGACATGGGGCTCAATCTCAGGACCCATGAGATCATGACCTGAGCCAAAATCAAGAGTCACACGCTTAACCGACTGAGCCACCACCCAGGCGCCCTTGGGCAGGCTCCTTTCAGCCAGCAAAGTTCATGAGTTGAGCAGAAAGTTCTATAAACCCAGATGAAGATCAGAAACTAGATAAAGACTGACAAAGCAAGAGTGAAGGAGGAAGAGCTCACTTTGGGGAAAATGAACACAAACCAATATAATCTCAAAGAAATGAAGATGTGAAATACAGTGTTTGACATTAGCAGTAAAACTTCAAATGGATTGTACTGTTAAAAGCCATCATGAAGGGGCGCCTGGGTGGCTCAGTTGGTTAAGCATCTGCCTTTGGCTCAGGTCATGAACCTAGGGTCCTGGGATCGAGTCCTGCACTGGGCTCCTTGCTCAGAGGGGAGTCTGCTTCTCCCTCTGCCCCTCCCCCAGCTCATTCTCTCTCTCCCTCTCTTTCTCTCTCTCAAAAATAAATAAAAATCCTTAAAAAGGGGGCGCCTGGGTGGCTCAGTCGTTAGGCGTCTGCCTTTGGCTTGGGTCATGATCCCAGGGTCCTGGGATCGAGCCCTGCATCGGGCTCCCTGCTCCGCGGGAAGCCTGCTTCTCCCTCTCCCATTCCCCCTGCTTGTGTTCCCTCTCTCAGTGTCTCTCTCTGTCAAATAAATAAAATCTTAAAAAAAAAAAAAATCTTAAAAAAAAGCCATCATGAAACAAACAACATGCATGGACCTTGAGGGCATTATTCTAAGTGAAATAAGTCAGAGAAAGACAAATACCATACAATCTCACTTATATGTAGAATCTAAAACAGAAACAAAAAACCCCCTGAAATCACAGATACAGAGAACAGATCAGTGGTTGTAAGAGGTAGGGGATGGGTGAAATGGATGAAGGGGGTCAAGAGGTATATACTTCCAGTTATAAAATAAGTAAGTCATGGGGATATAATGTACAGCACGGTGACTACTGTCAATAACACTGTATTGTATATTTAAAAGGTACTAGGAGAGTAGATCTTAAAAATTCTTAAAAGAAAAAATTTGTAACTGTGTGGTGATGGGTATTAACTAGATTTACTGTGATTTCACAATGTATACAAATATTGAATCATTATGTTGTACACCTGAAACTAATACAATGTCAATTATACCTCAATTTAAAAAGTGCAACCTCCCCAAAATCCATCACAAAACAAAGATAAACTTGGAATTTAAGTCAATTCCCCAATATCTACTATGTGTTAGGCACTAAATAAATTGTAGCAAGAATAGGGCTTAAAATAAGTATAAAAACTTTTTAAATGTAATCATGCTTTCAGAACAAGATGATGAAAAGTAGTAGGTATATGGCAAAAAAAAAGGGAAATTAGGGGCGCCTGGGTGGCTCAGTTGGTTAAGCGACTGCCTTCGACTCAGGTCATGATCCCGGAGTCCTGGGATCGAGTCCCACATCAGGCTCCTGGCTCAGCGGGGAGCCTGCTTCTCCCTCTGACCCTCTCCCCTCTCATGCTGTTTCTCTCTCTCTTAAATAAATAAATAAATAAATAAAATCTTTTAAAAAATGGAAATTAGAATTTGGTAGTTGTCAAACAAAAAAGAGTAACAAATTGTGAATGTGGACTCGGCATTATGCCTAAGAAATACTTTGATTTGTTCAAGGAAGGTTAAAGATGAAATAACAGGTTGCATCATGATCCATTTTCCTTGAAAAAAAATGAAGTGTTTGATTCCCTATTTCAAAAAAACCTCTTATTTTTAATTATAATTTTACTTTCTCAACTAAATTTCTCCAATGGTTGACAGCAGGAACTACAGAACTAAAGATTGTAATAGGCTTCAAATTCTAAGATAAAAAGCCCAAAAGTAAAAAAATTCTGAGAAGAATCCAAGTCAGAGAAGGTACCCATGAGACAAGAATCTGAGGATTATAGATGATATGACAGTATCAGGTGTCTCCAATAAATGATTTCTCTTTTTTTTAGATTTTATTTATTTATTTGTCAGAGAGAGAGCACAAGCAGGGGGAGCGGCAGAGGCAGAGGGAGAAGCAGGCTTCCTGCTGAGCAAGGAGCCCGACATGGGACTCCATCCCAGGACCCTGGGATCATGACCCGAGCCGAAGGCAGATGCTTAACACCACCCAGGTGTCCCCCACTCCAAGTTTAAAAGTTCTCCTAGTACAGGAGGCCAGATAGAATGAGGCATTTATCTCAAGGCCAGCTGCTCACTTCCATATTAGCTAACTAGAGCTCTAAACCTATCAAACCAAGGAACCACATCCTAGGTTGTGGTCATCTCAACAATGTAGCTATTTTACTTAATCCTCCTAATTTTGTTTTTACAGAAGAGTAAACAGAAGTGCAAAAAATTTACTGATTTACCCAAGGGTCACATCTCTCCACCCATTCTAGCCTTTGGAAGTGGCGGTGGTATTTCACTTTTCAATTCACTTTTCTGTTGAATTTACTATTAAACTGGTCTTTCAGGGTTTGATGAAATCTGGGAAAAACAACATGAATTTACCACACCAACAGAGCTGACCAAACAGGACCTAGGGAAAAGCTACTTCATAGGCCCAATTGACGTCCAGTTAGAGTTGCACCAAGAGTCTCAGAAAAGAGCAGGCTAGGTTAGTGGGAATATCCTGTGTGTAAATTAGACAGCACAGACTGACTGAGTCTGGACGGTCTAAAAGCAGGGACTGAGAAAAACTGTTTTTAGGCCAAATCCAATGTTTGGAGAAGACAGGATTTAAGTGATCAATGATTTTTAAACTCTGGTGTCAAGAAACCAATGAACAACCAAGGGAGGTGGCTTGGGCACACAGGGATAGGGCCCATGATACGCAGTGGTCACCATGGATACTTTTAAAATGAGGCATTAGTGGAAAGGGAGTGAGATCAGCAACTGTAGTGATAGTTTATCAAAATAATCTTTTATTCAGTCAGTCAACAGTATTTACTGAGCTTCTAAATGCAAGGCAGAATGGAAGGTAACACACACTGATAAACTGCCAAATGTTGTTTATATTTCTACACATTTCATTATTTTTTCTATCAGTCAAGTCAGTAAGTGAGGCAGTTACTGGTGTACACTAAACCATTACTGAATTAATGAATATGCCTTCAACCAAGTGGAATATGGAGTGGGGAGACTGGAGGAACCAGTTGAATGGGGTTAAGAAAAGGCACTTCTGTAAGGTTAACAAGCGTTTCTATAACACTTTTACTTTTTGCAAGCCATTTTTGCATTTATTATTCTTCCAGTTACAACTTCAAAGTCTATAAGGTAAAGGCAGTTAATGTTTTTATTTAACTGATGAGGACACCAAGACCCCGAAAGCATTATTGACTTGCCCAAGGTTACACAACACTTGTCAGTTGCAGAGGCAGGAACTAAAAACCCAGGCTTCCTGCTTCAACGCCCGCCTGTTGAGTCCTTTCCACTGAACCACACTGCCAGGAACGATCTGGCGGCTTGGAAGTTGGGGACAAAGCCCCATGCCTACAGCACTCGCACTTCACACCTGGGCCTGAACCTGTTGCCCACGCAGCCTCAGGGGGAGGAGGGTGGGTGGCTTGTCGCGGTTTGGGGTTGGGAGCTGGCAGGCTCCCCTCCTCCGTGGGAATCAGGTGGTTACTTACTCATTTTGCCCGTTCCTTTGGGCTAGCGTCAGGGCGCAGGGCTCCCGGAGAGTACCCTTCATCTCCATACCCTCGATAGTATGCAGGCACTAGTCAAGGGTCTCCTCCAGATGCGCGGCCAGGGAGGGGTGGCGCGGTGCGGGTTGGAAGGAGGCTCCGACCCCTCTGCCCCCCCTCCCCACTGCCCAAGGCATCGTCTCCCGCGCCGGCCCCCTTACCCCGCTCCGCTCGGCCTCTGGGCCCAACCGCCCCCCAACCCCTCCACCGCGTTCCGCAGTTCCCCCGACCCCCACCCCTCCGCCCGCCCAGCCTGGCCTCCCCTCCCCCTTCCCTCAGGCGGATACGGCAAGGGGCTGGGCTCCGACCGGGAGCCGCGGCTCCATCCCGGCGGCCTCCGGGCTCAGTGGAGCTGCGGACTGCGGGCGGATCCGACGACACTGCCTCCCGTGTCCTCACCCACAGTCCTCGGCTGCGCGTCGTTTGAGGAACAGCTCCACGCAGGGCACCGGGAGCCGGGAGCCGGGAGCCGGGAGCCGAGCCGAGAGCCGAGAGCCTGACCCGAGAGAGAGCGGCGCCTCGCGCCCCCGCCAGTTTTCCAGGCCGCCGCAGATTTCGCCCCCTGCGGCCAACCTGCGGAACTGCAGCGAGAGACCCGACGGACCGGGGGCGTCTCTACCACATCCAGGGAGGAGTGCGTTTTAAATACTGCCCCTGACACCAGAATTGTTCTGTGGGCTTCGAAGATTGCCATAGAAACAAAACACAGCTATAACTATGAGAGAACTCAAATGTGTTGGACCAATAGGACCTAAATCCAGTAAAGAAATCCTTATTACAGTTATAACACACCTTGCTGGTTATCCTACCTCTTAGATGTTTTCCCCTTCCCCTTCTTCCTTCCACCACCTAAATCTTTAGAAAAATCCCCAAAGCTCAGATCTTAGCTCTTCCTTTGTGC